TTCATAATGTGTCCAAAGGTACACAGCTATTGAGTGAGGCCCTCCCTCAGGACTAGAACCCAGGCATCCTGGCTGCAGTTCGTGCTCTTTGCTTGTCCACCATGTGCAAACGACTGTGCTAAAATGTTACCCCCATTTTTTACTAAATCTTTAATGCCACCCCAGGAGGTAACAGATGAGGAAACTGAAGCTTAGACAGGTTAAATAATTAGCCTATGTCACCTGGAAAGTGATTGCAGGAATTTCAAACTCAGCTATGCCTGACTCTACAGCCTGTTCTGGAGGCCTTTGTCCTCCTTCTGCTACCTTTCCGTATACTCTTCGCCTGGCAGGTGGGAAGGTAGCTGTCCATGGGTTGTCCACCCTCCTAGTCTTTCTCCTCAGCCTACAATGCTCTGTACATTTAAATTAACCTCCCTTCCTCCCATCTTCAAAACACCTTCCCACGGTTAGATAGGGAATGTCTATTACCATTACTGAGGCTTTTCCTTTTAATGGAGTATGCACTTAAATAAAATTTTTATTGGTGGGGCTTCAGACACTGAGATAAGAATCTTATATAGCTTTATGGAAATATTTTTGGCGAAGGGGTCTCTTTCTGAATGATAGACCACAAATCACACCCACCAAGTTCTTGTCTTGGTCTATAGGCTGCTGTTGTTGCTAGCTGACTTTGAGTTGGCCCCCAACTCATGGCATCGCCATGCATGACGGAATGAAACCCTGCCCAGTCCTGCACCATCCCCATGATAGGTTGTGGATCAGACCGTTGTGATATAGAGAGCTTTCGTGGGCTGGTTTTCAGAAGTAGCTCATCAAGCCCTTCTTCCTAGTCTGTCTTAGTCTGGAAGCTCTGCTAAAACCTGTTCAGCATCACAGCAACACGCAAGCCTCCACTGACAGTTGCGTAGTGGCTGCACATGAGGTGCATTGGCTGGGAATCAAACCTGGGCCTCTCGCATGGAAGGCGAGGACTCTACCACTGAACCACCACTGCCCCCATGTCTATAGGTAAAGGTGATTAAAGCTGTATTAGGCTACTTGCTACCTGCAGGAGCTCCAGTAAGTTATTTCATCTCTTTGTACCTCAGTCTTCCATCTGCTAAACTGGATATAAATATAGCTACCTCATGGGGCTTGGAAGGATTCATTGAGCTACATACAAAAAGCAATGCTTTAGAAAGGGCCTGGCATGAGGTAAGTGCTGTGTAAATGTTGGTTATAATTACTGTGATTATTAAATCCCCTGGTCACTGCCCTGGCATAGAATCAGGAAACAGGCTTTCTCTGCTCCTCCATTCTCAAAAGCCTCTAAATCTAGAAACACTTTCTGCCAATGGTTTTCAAGGAAGCTCGTTTTCTGCCTCATGGAGTGGAGAATCGGGTTGATTTAATCATGCTTGCTATTTATATAATATTTTTCTTCCTTAAAAGACCTCTGGGCAACCAAGGTTTCTTTCCATGAGACTAAACACTGAAGGACTCTTTAAAGGGAGATTTTTGAAATTGTCATGGGCTTGTTGGCGGAACAGCCAAGCAGGTTTCAAATGTACCTTCTGTGAGCGATGCTACACAAACTGCCAGAAAACAAGAACTTCCATAGCACAAGGAATGCACTTTGTTCAGACGGGGGAAGAAGCTGTTTTATATTTGTCAGCATTTGTGGGTAAATTTGCAGTATTCTGGATGATTTGCATGTTGCTTCTTTAGCTTCTTTTACAAAAAAGAAAATTAAGAGAAGAAAATAGTGCAATAAAACTTTTTTTAAAAAAGCATCCTTTGCTTATATAAGTTCTGCTGTGAAGATCTGGGGGAAACACACTCTAAGCAATGTCATCTCATGTCCCCATCTCATTGCACAATCCACTGACCATTTTCACCGCACTTGATCGGAAACTTCCACGTTTCCTCCTACTTTTTCAGGGGACTGGTCACCTTCCTCACTCAGAATCTATTTCCCAAGCCATGTGAATTTTAAAGGATTCCTTTTTAACTATTTCCTCTTTGTGTACACTGAGAAAAGTTCTGAAACGTACAGGCAGGAAACTTGTTCTGCTGCCGGCAGCTTCAGAAATACCTGAACATATGTTTCTCCCTTTCCGTAAGAACTCATGGTAGTTGCTCACAACACTGTGACGTGTGTTGCAACTTCAGCCAAAAGGATAATTATTCAGAAAATTATGAAAGAATCCAGAGAAAAAGGTTAAGCACTTTCATGGTCAAAGCTGAAGGAGTTTTCGCAGACAGAATACCATAAGGCATGAGGACAAGAGTTTAGGTCTTCTGAGACAAGAGGCACCTGCACCTGGCCAACAGTGACTACGCTCAGTTTACCAGATAGATTAAAAGATCGAGTTTTGTACCTACATGCCTTTCCTTTCCAGATGTCTGGCCTGATTTGACATAAAAGACATTGGGCTTTTTACTGTTGGGGGCCCTGGGGTTCTGCCCAAGTAAGATGTGTTTATTTGACAGCTTCCTCTCAGATGACAAGTCTGTCGGGTGTGTCTGGAGCTTCAGCCTCCTCGCTGGCTGTCCGTGGCTCTAGTACATTCCCTTAATTGTCCGTCTGCTTTGAGCAGACTGTCCTCCTTCAGCTCACAGTGCAGCAATTGTTTTGACATCTTGTTATCACACATCCTCTTCACAGGCACGGATAAGAGAAACTGTGTCCTAATAAGCAAAGCGCTGTCGCATTTTCTTCATTAGATCCAGTGATTAAGTCACCTAATTTTGGGTGCCCTGAAACCCATGGTGACAGATTTTTGCAGTTGAGCAGGATTTGTGTCGCTAGTCGAATCCAGAGAAGTATACTAAATTTGAGTTTTGCATTTCATCCCTGTAGCTCTTCTCGGTTCTGAGAGTTCACCTTGAAGTCAGTGCGCCTCAGCTTTGATGGTTAGCACGTTGTATTAATAAGGCTAGAACCATGGTTCTCATCTAGTCATTTGTCAGTTACTTTCACTCACTTTCATGATCATGGACTGTACTTTTCTTCCCAGTTGTAGTAGTCTCAGTCCATTGTCTCAGAAATGACTACAGGTAGTCCTCGAGTTACAACTTAGGATGTATTCAAGTTACGACAAACTGCACTTACGACCTTCTGGTTTTGGGTTTTTTTTGTACATCTTATCGATAGTAATATGTGTTACATACGATGTTGCAGCATGTAATTTGCTCATGTTATCATTCTCAGATGTTCACTCACAGATGTTCAATGTTATGATTTATTGATACTGATAATGAAAGGCAATAGTACTGAAAACTAAAAAAATTAAAATGAGGTATTCGACTTACGTCAGAACCAACTTACAACAGAGTCGTCAGGACAGAGCCACACCTATAAGTTGGAGACTACCTGTATAGGTAACTAAGAAGACCAAGCTAAGACAACATGACTAGATAGTATAAATCCACCATCCCAGGTGTCATGGATTGAATTGTGTCCCCCAAAAAATGTGTGTAGCAACTTGGCTAGGTCACGATTCCCAGTATTGTATGATTGTGTTATCTGATGTGATTTCCTTATGTGTTGTAAACTCTACCACTATGATGAGATTATATGTGATCTCCTCGTGTGTTGTAAATTCTATCACTGTGATGAGGTTATAGTGATGAGGTTGACAAGATTAGTGTCTTAATGCAATCTCTTTTGAGATATAAAAGACAGAAGCGAGCAGAGATACATGGGAACCTCATACCACCAAGAAAGCAGTACTGGGAGCAGAGCGTCTCCTTTGGACCTGAGGTTCCTGTGCAGAGAAGCTCCCAGACCAAAGGAAGACTGATGACATGGACTTTCCTCCAGAGCCGACAGAGAGAGAAAGTGTTCCCCTGGAGCTGATGCCCTGAATTTGGACTTGCAACTACTGGACTCTGAGAGAATACATTTCTCTTTGTAAAGCCATCCACTTGTGGTATTTCTGTTGGAGCAGCACTAGATGACTAAGACACCAGGAGATAAAACAATTCAAAGGCACCCACCCAGAAAAAATGGGTCATTTTTCTTGTGTGGGCAACTGCATTTTGAATGTAGGAGAGTTCCATTTAGAGTGCCACCCACCCTGTAAACAACTCCAAACCAGCACTTGTTTAATACCTAGTATCTGGAATTCACATCCATGGTGTCAAAAGTTCAGAGTCGAATGTTCACAAAGCAGTGGCACCACCACATCCAAAGCGTTCATGGATTTTTCTCTATGGTCTTGAAGCATTAAATGCAATGAAGTTGGCTCTGCCCTCAGAGTAACTGACATGACATCAGAACTGATTATATTAATAAACTGGGCATTAAGGCTGTTCATCAATATAATCATTTTTAACATGAAAACACAGAGTCAGAAGTCAGTATTTCCCATATCAGAACAGCCAGAAGGCGGATGTCCTGGCCCAAAGCCACGGCCCATTCTGTCCCAGAGGCAGATATAACTCTGTCATGAAGATGAGTTAATCAGGCTTCCTTTGCTAAATGTCATGAATTACTCAAATCACACAACTGACTCTCCTGGCTCAAAGTAGAGTCTTTGTGACTTGTCTGCAGAGATAAAATGCACTCATCTGCTGATACCAGCACTCATTTTTTGACTGAATTTAACAAATAAGCATTGACTGCCTGCTTCAGGCTCAGGAATACAGTATCCTCATGGAGCTTGGATTCTACACAAGACATTGATCAAAGAATGATATAAATACATATAAAATTCCAGTAACAATAAATGCTATAAATAAGAGGTGTATAGTTCTAAAAGCAAACAAAATAATCTGAATGCATCATTATTGGTATTATATCATTTAAGTAGGAATAAAAATAATATTTAACTCTCAGAGTTCTTAGAGAGATTAAATTTGATATGTATGAAAAGGTGCTTTTTGAAATTATGAATATCTACATAAAAATAACACCCATTTTGGTATTTCTAGTGGATAGGCTAGTCTATGCTACAGTAATAAATTAACCTCAAAGTGTTAGTGGTTAAACATATCAACAGTTTATTTCTTACTTGGGCAAAGTCCCCTGCAGGTCTGGTGGCTCGCCAGGGCAGCTCCCTCCATGCAGTGACTTAGGAACCCAGTCTACTTGCATCTAGTGGCTCCAACATCCCAAGATGTAGCTTCCAGGTCACTGTGGCAAAGAACAGAGAGAGAGATAGTGATTACAGGGTCATGCACTGGCTCTTAAATGTCCCATCCTACTGCAAGGGCATTGGTAAATGTTGCGGCACACGTGTGGGACAAAGAACTAAGTTTGGCCCTTTGTCTTTGGCTTTGGAAAACAGCCTGAGAAATTGTGGTGCGTTTTGTTTTTCCTAAAACAGCCAGGCAACAGTTAAACATGTGCAAATAAGTTTGGAGTCTCCAACCCATTGCCTTGGCAACAAGCCTCAGAATGGGAGGGGGCATGATGAGGCCTCAACCACCCCACCCTCTGAGGCCTGATGTTTGCACATGTAGGGTACCATGTGGTCTTTGGGTATAAAAACAGCCAGCCAAGGTACCTTGTGGTCCCTCAGCTATGGTATTAGGTGGAAGTACTTGTAGCATAAGGGTCCAGTCCACCTAACTAGGCCTATCTGGCCAGCAGGAGGTAGGCCCTTTTTTTTTTACAAGCCTCAAATTTTATTATTAGGTACAACAAACATAAAATTGCATTTTAATTAATATAATCAAAGCTAGCATAACATAGGAAATCTGAAAGGAATTCCAGAATCTGGACACATAGATTGAAATTGTGCATATATGTGATTAGCAAAGAAAATCATATTGTACATATAACTTTTGTCATTCTGTAATCGTAGATAAACAAAACATTATCAGTAAAATAGTAATCATCCATATTAAACTCCTATACTCATATTTTGAATAAACAATGTAACAGTATACATACTTGAAATTTTTAATGGAAAAATGAGCTTGCTTCTCTCTTGTTTATTTAATCTAAGTTCGATCGATGACGTAGCTACTCACGGGGAGTAATGTATATTTAAATTATTTCTATATTTTGTTTTTGTAACACTCATAGAAGAGATGCCAGTCTCCCAGAAGTCTGCTGACAGAATAGAAGAAGAGATTTAAATCAATTTCAAGAAACACAGAATATTTATTTTTTAACTTTTATATAAAACGAAGCAAGCAATGCTATATTCTCAAAATTTATCTCCAATTCGTCAACATTAGCCAGTTCCAACAAAATATCCTGTAGAGCTGTAGTTAAATTTAAATTATCTTTTTTTGTTTTGTTTTTTAAATTTCATTTATTTTGCTGTTGTTGTTGGTAATATACTACACAGCAAAACATACACCAATTCAACAGTTTCTACATGTATCATTTAGTGACATCGATTACATTCTTGGGGTTTTGCAACCATTCTCACCTTCCTTTTCTGAGTTGTTCCTCCTCCGTTAACATAAATTCACTGCCCTCTAAGGTTCTTATCTAATCTTTTGAGTTGGTGTTGTCAATTTGATCCCATATAGATAGTTCTTAAAAGAGCATAATGCTCACGGCAGACCTTTTTACTAGTTAAGCTAAACTATTGTTCAGTTTTAAGATGACGTCAGGAGATATTTTTGGTTTAAGGTTTAAAGATTATCTCAGGGCAATCGTTCAGGGATTCATTCAACCTTTCTGGCTCCAGCAAGTCTGGAGTCCATGAGAATTTGAAATTCTGTTCTGCATTTTTCCCCTTTTGATCAGGATTTTTCTATAAGTTCTTTGATCAAAATGTTCAGTAATAGTAGCTGGGCACTATCCATTTCTGGTCTCACAGTAAAGGAGGCAGTTGTTCATGGAGGCAAATTAACCGTTCATTCCATATCCTCCTGTTCCTGACTCTCCTTCTTCATCTGTTGCTCCAGGTGAATGGAGACCAGTTGTTGTGTCTTGGATGGCCGCTTGCAAGCTTTTAAGACCCCAGGCACTACACAACAAACTCGGAGGTAGAATAGAAACGCTAAACATGTTATTAGGCCAATTAACTGGGATGTCCCATGAAACAATGACCCTAAACCTCCTAACCAGGAAGCCAAATCCCACGAAGTTTTTGGTTGTACATAAGCAGCCTCACAGCAGCTACTTTTTTTTTTTTTTTTGTCATTGTTGTAAATATATCTATCACACAACTTTTGCCAATTCAACTTTTTACAGGAGTACAACTTATTGACAGCAATTACAATAACCGGCTATGCAACCCTACCTTTAAGTAATGTGATATTTCCATTACCATTAACACCCACCTCCTTTTCTTCCCCCTCCTGCCCCTGGTAACCACTAATAAAATTTGTTCTCTATACATTTGCCTTTTTCTTTCTATTGTAAGTGAGGTCATACAATATTTGTCCTTTTGTGATTGACTTATTTCACTCGGCATAATGCCTTTCAGCATGTATCAAGACTTCATTTCCCCTACTGGCTAAGTAGTATTCCATTGTATGTATATACCACATTTTGTTTATCCATTCATCTGTTGATAGGTATTTAGGTTGTTTCCACTTTTTGGCTATTGTGAATAGTGCTGCAATGAACACTGGTGTACAAGTCTCTGTCTGAGTCTCTGCTTTCAGGTCTTTTGGGTATATACCTAGGAGTGGAATTGCTGGGCCATATGGTAGTTCCATTTTTAGTTTTTTTGAGGAACCAGCACACCATTTTCCACCATGGCTGTACCATTTTGCATCACCACCAGCAATGGGTAAGGGTTCCAATTTCCTCACATCCTCATTAACATTGATTATTTTCTGCTTTTGTTTTTTTTAGTCTTAGCCATCCTAAACCTGTTGCCGTTGAGTTGATTCTGACTCATAGTGACCCTATAGGACAGAGTAGAACTGCCCCAAAGGGTTTCCAAGGAGCATCTGGTGGATTCAAACTGCCGACCTTTTGGTTAGCAGCTGAGCTCTTAACCACTGTGCCATCAGGGCTCTTCAGCCATCTTAGTGGAAGTGAAATAGTATCTCATTGTGGTTTTGATTTGCATATCTCTGATGGCTAACGACGCTGAGCATCTTTTCACGTGTTTGGTGGCCATTTGAATGTCCTCTTTCGTGAAATGTCTATTCAAGTCCTTTGCCCATTTTATGATTAGGTTATTTGTCTTTTTGTTGTTAAGTTGTTGAAGTTATATATATATATATACTGGTTATTAGATGCTTGTTGGATATATGGTTTCCGAAGATATTCTCCTAGTCAGTAGCTTGTCTTTTTACTTTTTTGGTAAAGTTTTTTGATGAATAAAGTTTTTAATTGTTATGAGGTCTCATTTATTTAGTTTGTCTTTTGCTGTTTGTGCTTTTGTTATTATATTAGATAATCCATTGTTAAAAGCGAAGCCTGGCAGTGTTGCCTCTGATTTTTCTTCTAAAAATTTATGGCTTTAGTTTGAACATTTAGATCTTGTCTTAGTCATCTAGTGCTGCTACAACAGAAATACCACAAGTGGATGGTTTTAATGAAGAGAAGTTTATTTCCTCACAGTCCAAGTAGGCTAAAAGTCCAAATTCAGGGCATCAGCTCCAGGGGAAGGTTTTTTCTCTCTGTCGGCCTTCTTCTCTTCAGTGTTCCCCCATACTAGCAGCTTCTCTGCGCAGGGACCCCGGTCCAAAGGACGCGCTCTGCTCCTGGCACTACTTTCTTGACGGTATGAGGTCCAGGCCCCTTTTTTTGAGTCCCTCACTCTCGAAGCAAGGTGGAGGACACGGGTGGAAGAGTTCTCTATCCCCACTGGGACAACTTCCAGAAGCCAGGGGGACCGGCCTGTCTTGTGACTGTCCGTTTTTGAGTTCCCCATCTACAGTGCATAGCAGGGCGAGTGTAGAAGTTTTCCGTCTCCACCCAGATAGCTTTTGAACCGAGGGAACAACTCATCTGTTGTATGCTGTCTGCCTCCTTTTGCAGTAAAAACTACTTTTCACGTGCTAACGTGTTCAGGTTCTGATACAAGGACGTGATATTCATGGAGGAATCACATATAGTGATTGGTCGTCTTTTTCTAATGGCCTCCTTGCTATTTAGAAATTGCGGACAATCTGTGAGTACCTCGCGGATTGGGCTCATTGTCTTACAACACGGATATTCAGTAAAAGTCTCTGTTATGAGTTGAAAGAGCATTGTTCTTGGACTAGCCACCTGATTTTTCTGAAACCATTTGTTCATTGATAAAATGGAAAGGGTAATTCAAGCTACCTCACAAGATTAAAAAAAAAAAAGTTTTCATCAAGTAGATTCCAACTCATGGCAACCCCATGTGTGTCAGAGTGTCTGATTTTTCAGAAGTAGATCACCAGGCCTTTCTTCCAAGGCACTTCTGGGTGTACTCAGACTTCCAACAGTTTGGTTAGCAGCCGAACGTGTTAACTGTTTGCACCACCCAGAGACTCCATCCACAAGGTTAAGAGGGTTAATATGATGCATATGTGAAAGCATTCTATACACTGTAAAGAAACATAGAGGTGGCTTTTACCATTTTTCCTACCACAACTACCAACCACACCAATGCCAAGGGGAAGAATAAAAACTGAGTTAAAAGTACAACAGGGCCAGACATGTTCTTTTCAGTGGAACATGCCAGCCAGGCTGGTTGGGCCTAAGAGTTGACTTCCTCCTGCAACATGGGGGATGGAGGAGGCTGGGATGGAAACTGCTGTGAAGCAAACCAGCACAGACCCTGGTCCTCCCCAGATCTCCTGGGAAACACAGGTTGACCTCTTGGCCACTACCCATTTATCCATTTTTCTAGTTTCAAATTAGCTAACTCCTTTAACAGACTCAGTAAAAAAGGCTAAATACGTCTAGTCATCCAAGTACTTTCTCATTCTGAGTAATCTTACCCTGGGTCAGAGAGAGACGTGGTATATTACTTGTTTAACTGGCATTATTATTCCCTGTTTTCCCGTTATGGAGTTGATGGTCCCCATCTAAATTACAGACCCTTCATTACCCAACTAAAAACCAAGAAACTAATAAAGAAGTAATTCCTGGTTACTGTTACGGCTCCTAATTGTCATTGGTAAGATGGAAACTCAGGTGGTGTTTATCTATTTGAAAAATATTTTTTTAATTTATAATCTCTTTAACAGCCATCCTCAGCACCAATATATCTTCTTAATATGCTCCCTTTATTGCTTTGGTGATAGATACAACCATTAGGTGCACAGCATGACAAATGTATATTTGGGACCTTGTATAAATGATGTTGGGCTCTTTATCATGTTTTTTAGTTCTCCATCTGCCTGTGCAGCCTATTCACAGCAAGCGTGAAGAAACAGCTGGCAGTAATATTAAAGGAAATAATCAAAATAAGGAAAAAGAATGTTTCTATAAGAACAAGTGGAAGAGAAAGAGTATGAAAGTAATTGATTGTAAGAAAAAAGTCTCAGAGATTCCAAAGATCAAGGATTAAAAAAACCCAAAGGCTTAGGAGATTAATTTAAGCACTACAAAAAAGATAATTCTAAGGAAAACAACCTACAAGACCAATTGGAAAATAAGTGGCTGTTCCAGAAAATAGAATAAAATTGAAAACGTTGAGAACACGGAAAGGATATGATAAACAAAACTGCACTTATTTATTTTAAGATAGTTTATAGCCAGAATTTTTGCCATTAAAAGGTATCACCATGACCCAAAATAAATAAGAAAAACAGAAACACCATATTTTTGTTGTCTATTAAAAGAAGATACAAAACCTGGGGGTTTTCCCCATAAAAAATAAAGCTTGAGAAATCACAAAAACAAAGGTGATTCACTGAACAACTTTTTGTTACTATTTTTAGAGATGCACTCTTAACTAAGTAGTAGATTATCTGACCATTTTTAGCTTGTCATTGTCAAGTCGATTTCAACTCATAGTGGCCCCATGTGGCAGAGTAGAAGTGCCCTATGGTGTTTTCTTAACTGTAATCTTTACGGAAGCTGATTGCCGGATCTTTTTCTCACAGAGCGGCTGGATGCGTTCAAAACGCCAACCTTTTGGTTAGCAGCTGAGCACTTAACCGTTTGCACCACCAGGGCTCCTTATTTTTTTAACTTAATTTATGGGAATTGTCTACATAGTAATATTATGTCATATGATGAAAATGAATATGTTGGGAGTTGTTCAAAAGGTGCTTGCGCAGGTGTGTTTATGTGTATATATGGTGTGTGGGTAGGGTTGGGAAAGTGTTTAAATCTGTGTGGCATGTTTATGTATGTACGAATGTATGCTGTGTGAGTGTGTCGATTGTGTGGTACGTGTGTGATGTGTGTGTGGCTGTGCATATGAGTGTATGTGAGTGTGTGTGGTATGCGTGTGTGTGATGTGTGTAGGTTTATGTGTAAGTGTATGTGAGTGTATTGTGACTGTGTGTGTGTGGTATGTGTGTTTTTATATGTGTGAATCTGTGTGGCAGAGTGCATGTGAGTGTGTGCATGAGTATGTATGTGTGTATGTGCAGATGCACAGTAGTGCATATGAGTGTATGTGTATGTGTGCATGTGGGCACACATACGCATATGAGGAGCTGTTGCTAACAGCAGAATGCTTCTATTAAACCAAAGGGGTGAGGCATTTCCATAGCTAAGAAGGGGACAAAGTAGAGAAATCTAAGGGCTAATTAGCATAGCAACTTGCCTCTTGTTCGATCACTTAGACCAGAGCCACATGCAGTGCCAAAGTCATTTCCTAAATAGTCCCCTGGAGGCTTGGACCTTCCTCCCTGACCTAACAGAGCCTGTCTGTTCTTTCACTGCTCTATCTGGTTAGCTAAAGAAGGCAAAAGAATTTCAATAACATGCCCTATTAGTTCCTTACCAGATCCTTCTCATTTCTCGGCCCACTGCTACTTCTGCAAGGAATGGCACCAACTTGTTCACCCAGGCCTATGACTTCTTTCAAGCCCTAATTTAAAACACTTTCTTCAAGAAACCTTCCCTACCTAACCTCCTCCCACACTGATCTTTCCCTCGGCTCTTAAGAATAACACGTTGCCATCGAGTCGATTCCAACTCATAGTGACCCTGTAGGACAGAGTAGAACTGCCCCACAGAGTTTCCAAGGAACGCCTAGTGGATTCAAACTGCCGATCTTTTGGTTAGCAGCCATAGCACTTAACCACTACGCCACCAGGGTTTCCTCTTAAGAATAGTACTATTTAATTTTGAATTACATACTCTAGCTGTTTTCTGTATGGACAACTAGAAGTCCCTTCCAGCTCTAAAATTCTATGATTCAGTGCTGCTACCTTCCCATTTAGAGTGTAAGATTGCCAGAGAAGGAGGACTATCTTCTCTTTCTTTTATACTCTTCATACACTACTATTGAGCAAAATAGTTGCTTAAAAGGTTTTTGGTAAAGTGAGTGTTCATTGTAATACTCTTGCAACTTGGTAAGTTTAATTTTTTTATAATAAAAAGTTGGGAAAATAATCTTTAGTGAAAACAAACGTAAAGGAACTGATATCTTTACACCCCTACTATGTGCCAAATGCTTATTTAATCTGTCCAATATATAACCCTTTTATATAGGTGCTTTGGTCTCCCTTTTCTAGATGAGAAATTTGAGTCTCAAAATCATTGCCCAAGATCACCTAGCTGGAAAGTGGAAGATTCTGGATAAGAATCTCATCCTTTTTAATTCCAAAACTCAAGCCCTTTCCATTAGACCATGCAGCCTAAATGCTACTTCTCACTGGTATATAGTTAGTGATCAATAAATGCTTATTGAAGTGGTAACTTTAGTGAAGGGCAAGACAGTATACAAGACAGTCAGCACAACTTGACTAAGGCAAGGTCATGCAAGCTTCATGGACACATCCAAACTCTCTGAGAGACAGAATTACTGGGTTGAGGGCTGGGGACCATGATCTCAGGGGACATCTAGCTCAATTGGCATAACAAAATTTATAAAGAAAATGTTCTACATCCTACCTTAGTGAGTAGCATCTGGAGTCTTAAAAGCTTGTGAGCAGCCATCTAAGATACTCTACTGGTCCCACCCTGTCTGGAGCAAGGGAAAATGAAGAAAACCAAAGTCACAAGGAAAAGATTAGTCCAAAGGGCTAACGGACCACAATTATCACACCCTTCACCAAACTGAGTCCAGTACAACTAGACGGTGCCTGGCTACCACCACTGGCTGCTCTGACGGGAATCACAATAGAGGACGTTGGACAGAGCTGGAGAAAAATGTAGAACAAAATTCTAACTCACAAAAAAAGACCAGACTTACTGGCCTGACAGAAACTGGAGAAACCCCAAAAGTATGGTCTCCAGACACCCTTTTAACTCAGTACTGAAGTCACTCCTCAGGCTCACCCTTTAGACAAAGATTAGATAGGCCCATAAAACAAAACAAGAATAAATGGGCACACCAGCCCAGGGGCAAGGACAAGAAGGCAGGAGATGACAGGAAAGCTGGCAATGGGGAACCCGCATTCTATAAGGGGAGAGTATTGACATGTCGTTCGCTTGGCAACCAGTATCACAAAACAATATGTGTATTAATTGTTTAATAAGAAACTAATTTGCTTTGTAAGCCTTCATCTAAAGCACAATAAAAAAATTAATTAAAAAGAAAGTGCAATGCAATAAATGCTTATTGAATTGAATTAATTGTACAAAGAGATGAAGTCACCTGGCTGTCTACTCAGGGTGATTGTAATAATTATAGTTAATTTTTTATTGAAAATGTACAGTGTGGCTGGCACTGTGCCAAACAAGCCCTTTATATACATCTCAATTGTCACAGCATTCCTTTGATGTGGCTACTATCATGATCCTCATCTTAAAGATGAAGAAAGTGAAACCCAGTTTAAGTAATTCGTTCAAGGTCTTTTCTTTTCTTCAGTCTATTTTCTCTCTGTTGTTCATATGGGGTAAATTCTATTGCTCTGTCCCCAAGTTCATCGTCCTCTGCCATCTCCACTCTATCATGGAGCCCACCCAGTGAATCTTTACTTGCGTTATTGTATTTTTCAGCTCTATAATTTCCATTTGGTTCCTTTCTATAAATAAGGCATTTCCATAACCTAGAAGAGGACAGAGCAGAGAAACCTGTCTTACTGTCAGATTTTTCTAAGTTTTCTAATTTTTCATTTGTTTCAAGAGACTTCCTAATTGCTTATTGAAGCCTTTTTATCATGGCTACTTTAAAATTCTTGTCCGATAATTTCAGCATCTGATTTATATCTGTATTGGCATCTATTCGTTGTCATTTCTCATTCAAGGTATGATTTTCCTGGTTCTTGGTCATTGATTTTCTATTGTATCCTGGGCATTTTGGATATTTTATTATGAGACTCTGCATCCTATTTAATCTTCGTTTTTTAGCAGGCAGGCTTCCTGTTGAGACATAGTACAACGGTCAATAGGTACATATGGTCAGGTGCCCACCGGGCCCCATTGACACCTTCTGGGCAAAACTGGGATACTAATCCACACTCGAGTGGGCCCCCCACTGCCACCAGGGAAAGGAAGAAGGGAAACAGAGTGCCGACTAACCAGGCCTCCCATCGCTTCTTCCTGCATTGTTGCTGCAGGATGGGGGTGAAAGTTCAGCTCTCCTCTCGGCCACACTGACACCAGGGATGGGAAGAAGAGGGGTGCTGCCTAGCTCTGACATGCACTGCCTCCTTCAGTTTCATTGCCGCTGAGTGAGGGTAGTCTCAGGAAGCCAATGGACCCACTGGAACTGCCCTAGCCGGGGAAACGCACTACCTGGTTCCACTGGGCAGGGGGTAGAACATTAGCTGCTCACTTGGACCTATGAGCACCACCCAGCAGGGGAATCAGAGCGCTGCTTCTGGCAGGTATAGGATAAAAGATTAGCTTCCCACTCAGCCCTGCTGACACTGCCCTCCCGGGTTATTGAATGTGCTGCCTAGCAAAAGGAGTGGGTGTGGGGTGTTTTCTTAGTGATGTTTGGCATAGAGTAAGGTGCTTCCCAGTCTTTTGTCTAGGGGAACAGACTTTTCTTGAAGCTTTTCATATTTGCACCTGTGGGCGGTTCTGATTAGGAGGCTTCAGAGGTGCACTGTCTGGGGTACGTAGGAAGCAATCAGGAAACCCGAGAATTCTCCACCATGTTGCTCCTCACGTCCAAAGGTCCTGGACAACCTCCCTTCCTCTTTCACCTTTCAGAGACTTCCTGTGCTTGTCTGTTGTACTAGGACCAAGGATTTTAAATTTTAAAGAAAATGACCTAGAAGAAATGAGACTACTCTATCTTAGTGGAATCAGAACTATCCAAGGCCTTTTAAACTCATAAGTGGTGAGACCAGGACCTGAATCTAGCAAGTCTAGTCACACAATCTCTGACTTTAACCATCATGCTAGCACTAGTTGTACATGTATACAGTAATATAAGTTATTATAGATACATATTATATATCTTGAGAAAAATAACTTGGATGTATAGTTGACTGTTGACATCAGAGCAAATTCACCAATTTGCACATTAACCATAATTAACACCCACTTCCCTAGCCAGCCTACAGGTATGGAAGGAAAGAAGCTATTGCCCTCTTGGAGCTACTCTGGTTGAGGAACAGGAAATCCGTTGGCTTTTCCTGAAAAGACACCCCAGGGTATGATTCCTCTCCTCTACTGTGGGGAGAAAAGGTTGCTGGAGACGGTCACTGCTTGTTGGGGTGATTGGCAAGCTGAGCCTAGATCCCGTTGCCCCATTACCACAGTTACTCCAAATGCTCAATCACCTGAACTACAACAGCAACACCCAACAGCATGGAAGAAGTTAAAAACAATTAAAATAAAAATGCATATACTTCTTAGAAAGTCTGTATAGATGTAATAAGCTATGCAAAAAGGAAACCAAGAGACTGATGAATATGGGATTCAGGACGATGCTACCTCTTTCTGGTGGGTAAACATCAGGACAAGTTGGTGGGGAGGGAGGCAGAGAACAGGTTAGGTTTAATAACTAGCAGGGTCCCAGCTTTTGTTTTGAGTAGTAGATTCACAGGTAACTATTACATTATTTAAAATAATCATATAAACAACTAATTAATTAAATGAAAGCAATGGGGAAAACTAGATTACCAAGAGTTGACCATAATCTAATTTTAGCTAAGATACAAAGCTTTTTACTATTTTCCTCTCTTCTCTCATTACTCCGATTAATGAAGAATTGACCACAATTCACAAAGGACTGTATAGTGTTGCCGTAAAATTATTTTGATTTGTAGCTGCCCAAGCTGAAAACTAGCAGATCAGGAATCATTTAGGCAGTCTACCTGAGGAACTTTACAAAAATAGACATTCCCAGCCCTAACCCCAGAGATTCTAATTTAATGACTGGGGTGAGGTCTAGTAATCTGTATTTTATGCTGAACGCCAAAGCAGCCTCCTAGAAAGCCATCTGCCTTTACTTCTTGGTAATTTAGTACATCTTATATATTGTTACTATACTTAAAAAAAATCCATTGCCATCGAGTCGATTCTGACTCATAGCGACCCTATAGGACAGAGAAGAACTGACCCATAGGGTTTCCAAGGAGTGTCTGGTAGATTCGAACTGCCAGCCTTTTGGTTAGCAGCCGTAGCTCTTAACCACTACACCACCAGGGTTTCCGTCGCTACACTTATGCCCTAAAAATACTGATTATCGTATTATTCTGCTCTTCAAAATTCTTTAATGCTCCACTCGTGCTTACTGCCTCAAATCTAAATCCCCTGCCAATCTTTTAATGTCCTCTGCAATCTGGTGCCACCTTAATTACCCAAATCGATCTTCCACATCCTCCATTACCGGCTGACATAGAGCTGATTCCGACTCATGCCAGGTGTGTCAGAGTATAACCATGTTCCATGAGGTTTTCAAATGTTGATTTTTGAAAAGTAGATCACCAGACCTTTCTTGTGAAGTGCCTCTGGGTGGACTCAAACCTCCAACCTTTCAATTAGCAGCCAAGTGCCTTAACCATTTGCACTACCTGGGACTCCACATCTTCCATGTTGTTGTTGTTGTTAGGTGCTATCAAATTGGTGCAGATACATAGCGATTCAATGTAGAAAACAGCAAAATGCTGCCAGGTTCTGCGCCATCCTCACAGTCCTTGCTATGTTTGATCCCATTTTTGCAGCCACTGTGCCCAGCCATCTCATTGAGGGTCTTTCTGTTTTTTGCTAACCCTCTACATTACCACGCATAATGTCCTTCTCCAGGGACTGGTCCCTCTTGATAGCACATCAAAAGAAGTCTCACCATCCTTGCTTCTAAGGAGCATTCTGGCTGTACTTCTTCCAAGACAGATGTGTTCATTTTTCTGGCAGTCCATGGCATATTCGATATTCTTCGCCAACAATAATGCAAAGGCATCAATTCTTCGGTCTTCCTTATTCATTGTCCAGCTTTCACATGCATATGAGGCAATTGCAAATACCATGGCTTGGGTCAGGCAGGCCCTAGTCCTTAAAGTGACATCTTTGCATTTTAACACTTTAAAGAGATCTTTTGCAGAAGATTTGCCCAATGCAGTATGTTGTTTGATTTCTTGATTGCTGCTTCCCTGGGTATTGACTGTGGGTGGATTCAAGTAAAATGAAATCCTTGACAACTGCAAACTTTATTTATCATGATGTTCCTTACTGGTCTAGTTGTGAGAATTTTTGTTTTCTTTATGTTGAGGTATAATCTGTATTGAAGGCGGTAGTCTTTGTTCTTTATCAGTAAGTGCTTCAAGTTCTCCTCGCTTTCAGCAAGCAAGGTTGTGTCATCTGCATGTTGCAGGTTGTTAATGAGTCGTCCTCCAATCCTGATGCCATGTTCTTTTTCACATAGTCCAGCTTCTCAGATTATTTGCTCAGCATACAGGTTGAATAAATATGATGAAAGGATACAACCATGATGCACACTTTTCCTGATTTTAAACCATGCTGTATCTCCTTGTTCTGTTTGAATGACTGCCTCTTGGTCTACATACAGGCTCTTCATGAGCATAATTAAGTGTTCTGGAATTCCCATTCTTCACAATATTGTCCATAATTTGTTATGATCCACATAGTCGAATGCCTTTGCATAGTCAATAAAACACAAGTGAACATCTTTCTGGTATTCTCTGCTTTCAG